CTGGAGGAGCAGGCACAGCCACTACTCATCTGCCTATCCAGAGAGAAAATGCAACTACCAACGCTAGGTTTAAGCTGTTAACATGCAGTTACACAAGTATGACACCTTTTTTTGGTATTACTCATCTAGTGTATACGGAGGCAGATTTCTGCCAACGTGCAAACCCCCCCAATCTTGTTTATGATAAGAAACCTTCTTGGAACAATGGCTTAGTATCGAAATGACTTAGTATGTCAAAATAATGAGAAACTTTATCAAAATATTAAAGTAACATCTCAAAATAATGAGAATAAAATTAAAGGCAGGGTAGGTAAGTTTGAGAAACTAGCAAGAAACTGCTGGATTTTTTAAATCTAAGAGAAACTCCGTTGCCGACTCTGCCGGAGGACGAGCACAGTGTGAGGAGCAGAGGGCAGCGCAATGCAGCGGCTCACATCAGGGGTAAGAAAACATTTAACTTTATCGTTATGAAAATAAACAACTAACCCGGTTGTTAGCACTCACTATCAAGCTAGCATGTTAATATTGGATAGGTTTAAAAAGACTGACTTCTAACTGCTTCTGACTGCTAACAGCTGCGGTAACATTGGGCAAAGCTAAAAACAGGCTGATACACATTTTCCCGTTTCCATCAGTTACACTACAGAACTTGAATTTCGAGTTAGACTCATAACCTGTACGTTGTTTTGCATGTTAGAGCTTCCAATGTGACAGCATTATTGTCTCCGATGAGAACTGCCCTCCAGAGCCAAGCACAGACCGAGACAGGACCGGGACCGGCCTGGGGTCGAGGCGAAGCAGAGGAGGGAGGGCTGCCAGGGTCCTTGGAAGAAGAGGCAGGATGAGAAGGACGAGGTGCAAGCCGAGCAGCACATACCCGCGTCGAGCTTCACACTCCAACAACGGCATATGAACAAGTATATATTTTAATATTAGTCTATTGTCTCCCAGCGTACTTGTCTCAAAGTTTCTCTGGTGTTTCCCCCAAAGCCCTTTGGGTGTCAAAAATGAAGTGCTATGTAATCCATCACTATTGTTGTCTATGAAGATTCTCAGTCATCCAGGTCATAGTTATCCAACGAAGGTTAAAATCAGGGCAACTGGACTTGGTTGAAGATACTGGAAGACGTTTCATCCTCATCCAAAGGACTTCTTCAGTTCTGTTTGACTGGCAGGGAAACTCAGCTATTTAACCTCAGTGGGGTCGTTGGCCAGGGTCATCGATACCGCTGGTTCGTTAGTGTTCCTGGTTGCTGTGACGACAGTCGTTACAGTCGTTAAGACTACCTGTGGCCAAGACTGAACGACCATCGTTGGTATCTTCACCTGAGGCCAATAGGTTACGTTTGTTGAGTTTCCTGGGAAGTGATAAAAGGACAGCATTGTAAGTGGGGGATAAGTGGTGGCGTAGACCCCCTCCCCTGTTCAATGACGGCTTGCAACAATGCAAAGTATTCACGTCACCCATGCTACACACCTCTGTGAAGCTAGGAGGCTCAGCTAGAAGCTCAAACCAACCATTTTTATCCACATCAAACACCAAGCATCTAAATAAGCTTCTGTCACAACATAAATCACTCTGTAATCACTGTACATGGCTGCAGTTATAAGCATCCAGTTATCTCTAATCACATTGTATCATGTCCAACCTCTCAAACCAAAGCTAGCAAGCCCCCTATCACTGGGATGTTCAGTTCTCAAGTTATACGCCTGTAAAGCATGGGAGTGCTTTTGGTCACAGGAATATTGATCAATATTTACTGTTTTATCTATTTAGGTTTTGGAAGTGTATTTAGCCTCTGATCTGATGACTGGTATGGTAATAGGTACAAATGACCTATTTTGTGGTTTAGGTTGGAGGACTGTATTTTCTATTCTACCTGATGTACTGAATGTAGCTGCCATTCTCTCCCACTGCGCTATTCTTCAATGATACAGCCTTATTAAATAGATGTATTCCATTAACAGGCATCATCACTGCCACCAAAAATATGCTGTGTGTATATATATATATATATATATATATATATATATATGCACATGCTGGTGCTATTTCAGCGTGGCAAGCGATTGCAGATAAAACTGAAAGAGTGCACTCTGTAGAGTTCAGATCTTTGCCAGGTCTGGTATCGCCAAATGGTGTATGAATAACATGCCAATGTCTAAGTTTGTTATCTTATCATAAGGCCTCTTTTGGATTTTTGTGTCTAATGTTAGTTCTTACTGACTTCCATTGAGCAGACAGCGTGTCATTTTACAAAGTCAGGTGATAAAGTCAGTAGGGTTTGTTTCTGTTTCATGTTGTGCTGTTTGTGTATATACCAAAGCAAGAACAATAAAAAAGCTGATCTAAAGTCTGCAGTTATTTCTACACCAGAGGAAAAGTACTTGAGAGACTAGATTTACATTTGAGTTGTGGATTCAAGTAAAAGGATGCCACACGCTGTTCCATACGTCCTGATACCTTTTAAAGCTCATTTTCACATCCAGCAGTTACGATTTGATGTGAATTCTGGCTCTTTATAGTGAGCCATATCATTTGGCTCAGCTCAGCACTAAAAACTCTTCTGGCTCCCTAGCGGCTCTTCATTTAGTGCCACTTCTGGGTTCTTTATTTCAGCCAATTTAGCAGTCCTTTGAACTATGATTGGTATGTGTGCACATACCTCATACAGTATAATTTCCATGATACCATAATTTTACATTGTTTGGTATAAAAACCTTTAAATACTGTAAAAGCATCAAACATGTAGTAAAAGTGCCTGAACCTAGTCGTCACTGTTATCTGCCATGTTTTAAGAAAAGATTCTTTCTGAAGGGACTGATGATTGCTACGATGCAGTCTCCCTACCACGAAGGATCATATTTTACAAATACGTAATAGGATCATCCTATTCTGTCTGAATTTACAAAAAAATATAGTCTCCCAAAATAAATCCGGTGCCAGGTCCCATCGTTCACTTAAAGGAGCCGTTCACAAACGACACATCAATCAATATGATTCACATCACGTGTTTCTGGCCACCTGTTAACTAAATCCAATATTCACTCTTTAGTAATCCAATTTTAATCCAAAATTAATCAGATTAAAAGTATGACAAGCAGTCTCTACCATGATAGATTGTATTTAAGAAATACTTATTGGATCATCCTATAATTCTGTCTTGTAGGATATTCATCCCCCCCCCCCAAAAAAAGATGGGATAAGCTAACAATGCATGCACGTTGGTCAGGGGTAGGGTTAAAAGCTATCGATTTGCATTAAGGTAGAATTTTTCTACAAGCAAGCATAAATCGTCAGAACGCCGGCTCATGGACCCACACATAGGAGCAACATTAGTGTTCATTTAGAGACGGGTTTCTGGATACATGTGCTTTATTCATTTGCCTAAATTGGGAAGAGCGTTGTCTATTTTGCAGACAGCTTTTGACTTGATCCAGCGCTCACTTCTAGAGCTTAACTTGTCTTAAATGGAGTAAAATGCAATTATCTAGATCCTGCTTTTTGGAGGAAATTTACTTTGGATGGCTCTGAAATTGAAGGAGTGTCCTCCTACAAGTAACTTGGGGTATGTACTGATGAGAAGCTGTCCTTCAAAATGCATGTTGAAGAGCTTGATAAAACGTTAAACATGAAACTTGGGATCCTCTTCAGAAATACATCATGTTTTTTCGTGTAAAAATGGAACGCTGTTAGTACAGTCTGTCAGTCATTGACAATGCCAGTAATATCTATATTGATCTATATGCACGCAGCCTCTGCCACTTTGAAACCGTTTGAAACTGTTCATCATTAGTTCATCACTGGTGATCATTTTCGAATGCATCGCTGTAATCGGGCAGGGGGTAGACATGCCATTTGCTCCTGTATGTATATAAAGCAAAAAGTAAAGCTATAACCGAACTGGAAAAAAATGCTCCTAGAGCTAGTGATGTAGTCAGGACCGCCCAAACCGAGACCAAGTCAAGACCAAGATCGGCGACGCGAAGGCCTTCGCATGAGTTGAAAATTTCCAATTCGAGCAAATCTTCGCGGGTTCCAATCGCCTTCTCGCGTTGTGTGCGAACACTTGCAGCGAATGTACTCACTTGAGAAAAGCGTCGTGAGGATTACATGCGAGACCGAGTCAAGACCAAGACCAGTTCCCTGCATTGCATGGCACGCAATAAAATGTGGAACGAGATCATAGGTACTTCACAAAGATCCACATTCCCATTAAAACACCCACAAACACTAAGAGCTGAAATCAACGTAAGCATCGCAGGGAGGGGGACAGTCGTTAATTAGGGTCATTGGTTGCATTTGAAGCAATATGTTTTACTGCCAATCAAAGTTAGGATGTTAGAAAATCAGACAATGCAAAAGCAAATTATTGATATTCCCAAAGTTATGGTCTTGACTGGTCTTGAAATAAAATCCCTAGTCCTCAATATCTGAGACGGAGACAAGACCGATTGCATGCGGTCGAGTCTGAGACGAGACCAAGACCATCAAAAAGTGTCAAGACCGGTCTCCAGTTGAATGCCTTCTCTTTGGGGAAATGCAAATATTTGTTATATGACTTTGACGTTGAGGTCTATGAATACTTTAAATAGTGATACCACTACATCCTTTAATTTGAATGTGTTACTGATACGTTAAGATTGATTTATATAAGTTTCATGTTTCTGTATTCTATGTAGGCCCTTTGATATGACTATTGATGGTTGACACTTTTAGTTTAGATTTGATTGTTTTTGATTTTAAAATTATTGTATGTATAATATAAAACAGAGCACTATCAACTTTGTCTCAATGGGTCTTCCTTGGCTAAATAAAGGTAAAAAGAACATACCTTGTATAAAAGGCTGATTGAGAAAATATGTTTTCAGGGCCTTTCCAGAATCTTCCCCATTTTATTTAGATTTAAATAAGACACCAACATTTATGTATCTGAGGTCTATTGAGATTTAAGTGTGAGTTATTAATCAGTAACTCTTGCTCTATCCAGACTCAGCACCTGGAGCACATGCTGCAACCAGCGCTGTTCAGTCTGCTCCACACTGACTGACAACTGTCGTACAAGCAATATGGATTTGTCCGTCCAGTAATCAATACCATCGGTGTAGCAGAACTCCTCTCCGAGGCCTCTGACGGGTCCACATTGGTCCAATGTCTCCAGTAATGAGAGACTCTGAGAGAACAAGCTGAGAAAACAAGTCAATATAAATGATGAGGAGGAAAACTTAGCATAGCTCTCGCACAATTCTCTCTCTCTGCCCCTTAAGCTGCTCTTTTGGCACCATTAGATTTGTGATTTACTCGAGTAAGATGACATTTTGTCAATAACACCCTTAGGGAATGGCTGAACTATGCAGTGCATTCGATAACAAAAGAAGAAAGACGTATGGTTTCTTTGTTTGTTTTGGTTTCACCCTTAACCCTTCCCTACTTCGAAGACACTTTGAAGGACAAGATCTATTCCAACTCAAAGATGTTAAAAGGATTAGTTCACCACTATCAGAAAAAAACACATTTTCTGAATTCGAAATTTGGTGTTATTTCCTGAGATTCAGTGATATCTGCTGCCGCCCCAATATAGAGGTAAATGAAACTTTTGGATGCTCACACTTGCAACAATGAAAAATGAATCAATGCCCTGGATAATCTACAGATCTCACTGTCAGTAGTTTAAATTGGAACATTTGCCTCAGTAGGAAGTGTTTTTTTTAGTTTGGTTGAAGTGACCCTACAAACACTATCAAGTGGACACTAATGAGGGCAGAAGGCGGACTCTTCCTGATGCCATGCCAACTTGTCTGAAAGCCTGTTGTGGAAGAACGCATGCCCATTTAATCAGTTCCAGCCTTAATCTGATTTGATTAGTGTTGCCTGCTGGACGAGGAGAGGAGCTGCACCCTGCTGGCTGCAGCCCTCCGGCTGCTGTCACATACTCTGCGTGAAGTCTCCGAGAACTTGTAATGAGGCCAGCCAAGTCCTTTTCCCTCCTGTCGTTTACAGGAGAGTGTGCATGGAAATGCACAAAGACACGATGGCAATGAGTACCTCAGGGAATCAAGATATGGTAAGTACATAAAAATAGCAACTTTGCAAGATTGTTTCTCCAATAGCTAAGAGTATGCCCCCCCCCCCACACACACACGTTTTTCTTCTATCCTGGTGGGGACAGCTCATTACCTCCTGCCCATTTGACCCCTATGGGGTTTTAGAGCCTTGGCTTTGCCCTTGCCTCTGGAACTCACTTCCACCAGACATCAGTAACATTGACTCACTTTCCATTTTTTAAATCCTGCCTGAAAACACATCTTTTTAAACTGGAATATCCAACCTGATCTGTTCATCTGGCCACAGCAATCTTTTGTTTCCAGTTGTTTATGTATGTTTTATGAACTGTAATTTGAGCTTTTTGCTAATTTTATTAATTTATTGATATACTGTTTTATTGTGTTTTGTGAGGTGACCTTGAGTGTTGAAAGGTGCCTATAAATAAAATGTATTAACATGATGCAGTTCCTAGCCCCTTTCCCCTAGCCTTGACCTACAATTGTGTATGTAAAAGAGACTGGGGGAGGTCAATAGAGGATGACCTTGTGCGATGGAGGACATTGCCCATATCATAATGGAAAGAGTTGCTGCCATAAAAATATGGTCCTACCCAAAATCATGTATTTAAATAAATGTAGTATATATGTTTATTTTATTTATGTGTTACCATATTTTAATTCATTATCTCTTAAGATCTATGTGTGTAACATTAAAGGACTACGAACTTTCTTTTCGTTATATAACTTTGTGTTGTATAATGATAAATAAACTACCACCTTGTATCATAGTCCCATAGAGATGTATTAATGTGTGTCAGACAAATCTGGATCAATAACTCAATAAAAGCAAAGTTTGCAGGGAGTGGACAAAATGATAGGAACACCATTGTCCTGCATATCCAGTATAAAATCAGTTTACTTGAGGTCTGTTAGAGGTCTTGATAAAAGATAGAAGAAGTTATTTTTGAGTCTGAGTTACTGAGTGTCTTTCAGTCACTTACATCATGATATTTGAGACGTACATTTGCAGTTCAGAACTGATGCAACAGCAGGTATGTGGTTTCTTTTACTCCTGTACATTTTATGAATGTACTGTTATTTGGTATTCATTTCATTAATTTGACTCGCTTACTGTATGTGGCTGATTTTGAAAATCCAGTGTCTAATTTGATATGGAATTCATATTCATTTCACCATCTTTTTCATTATGTTTAAGCCTTGAAAACCACCATACCCTCTGACACTATGGCACTGGAATGAAGTATTACAAACTGGGAGTACATAAAATCCCAGTCCTTAAATTGGTGATCTGAAGCTGAGCATTTGCCCTGATCAAAGAGATGAAGATTTACTTGGTTGAAAACAAGATAATGAGGTTGAGCATGTTTGTTTTGTGTGTTTGTGAAGTACGTATGTTGGAGGTTGATATGCTGTACATATATGTAGAAAATCTAAATTAAAACTCATAAAAATGTATTCATGTTTAGTGCAGAACTTTTTTATTTTAATAAGTTGTTTTGCCCACTCTTCATTTGCCTGACCCTGAATTGCTCTTCCTTTGTTTTTTCCTGTTCCCTCCTTGCTAACGAGTGGCTAATACAGTTTCATCTGGGCCATCAGCTCCAGTGAGTAATCCACTTCACAGACCGGCTCTTCTCAGCCCACAACACACCACAGCCTCCCCCTCCCACACTGAAAAAAAAAATCCTTTGGATTTACTCGATTTTAATGTGTACATCGGTCCCACATGATCAGAATGTGGCTAACTGACATCATTTTCCTGTTTTTCCTCAATGAATTATTGCTTGTCAAACCAAAATAATTAATTCATATTAGACAGTTTAAAAGAATCATGTTGACTCAACATGTTATTTGTCAGTTACTATAATGCCATCATATTGTGTAATGTTAATGTAAATCCATGATGTCCAGGGTACCTGATTATCAATTGTAACTCCAACTTGATTTCTTAATGCTTATGTTACTCAAAGGAATTATGTACCTTCAAGGTAATTTCATTATGTCCTATGTATCTGAGATAGTCTGTAAATCTTACTTGATTTGGTAAAGTTTATTCTATCTAAATGTATTGCAGGCATCGGTTCGTGTGTGCAGATATTTGCATTGACAAAAAAGGCTGACTCAGAGTTTTGCACTAAACGTTCGTTATATTGAACAATACAAACTTTATCCAAAAAGAGGACTGCAGTTGTGTTTGCTGATTTCAACTGTTACAAGTTGTGCATTCCTAGGAGCAAATACAAAACATGAATAAAACGTTTCCCTTAACTAAACCAAATGTCTTGTGTTCAAATGTTGCTGGCACTGAGGGCCTATTTTTAGAGCTTTTCTTAGAAGGTTTACTCCCACACCTACATACTCCATTTTCTCTGTGCCAACAGGTAGCAGTATTAATTTACAACAAACAAAGTAATCAGTTCTTCCTGAAGAACACATCTAAACCTTGTATTCACAGTTGTCAGAGGATTCAAAGCAACACATACAATATATTGCTAAAGTTTTTAAGGTGACTCCAAGCAGCAAATGGAATTAACATTTTTAACAGTCAACAAGAGTAAATGATAAGGCAGTGCAAATGGTATAAGATGCCTTTGACAACAATTGAAATGTCTTGTGTCCTCATGTTACAGGCAGTGTAGTCTCTGACGTGCCTGTATTTTGGAGCAAGTGCTTTATTAGACAGTTTACATCCGACCCTGCATACACCATTTTTACTGTGCTAACAGTATATCTTTATGAAAAAAAGTAAACAACACTTCGTAAACATTTGTTTTGAACTAAGGAACAAATATATAGATCTCTTAACCTTGTATACGGAGTTGTGAGAGTATTCAAAGCATCAAATACAATATATTGCAGAGGTTTAAGGTGACTCAGACCAGTAAATGAAAATGTTAACAACCCATTTTTAAACAGTAATCAAGAGAAAATATAAAGCAGTCCAATGGTATAACAATACCAAAGTTGTCTTTGACGACAATTCAAATGTCTTGTGGTCTAATGTTGCTGGCACTGTATCCTGACCCTTTTACTGAAAGAGCCGGTTTTTTAGAGCCAGTGCTTTGTTAGAAAGTTTACTTCCATCCAGTTCCATGAAAATCTTTTGGACTACCTCGAAGGTGTACCGAAGGTCAGCAGGGTAACTCAGGTTTAAGGCATAAATCAGTCCGAACAGCATGGCAACAGCTAATGCTACCGTATCCAGATCTTGCAACACCTTGATGCCTTCAAGGACGATTCCAATGTCCTCTGGTTCATCACTTGAAGCATGTTCTTTAAGAACAAAAATCCCAACAATGGTGTCTTCAATAGCCTCATTATGGCGTCTTTATCCATGCCCTGTACCAAAAAGACAAAAGTAAATGACCCATTAACAAGCGCAATTGAGAAAATGATAAATAAATATGAAACTGGATTAGGGTTAAAATGTTGGATTTATTTCACAGACACTTAAATATAATAGCTTCTTTTCACATTTTTATTTACAGCATTATATGTTGAAATTTCAATATCATAATCGGCTATACATTAACTCATTGGGAGAAAACTGGCAGTTCTGTGTAAAATGAGACGTTGAGCTCCCCCATATTGCCAAAATGGCGTGATCCTACTTTTACAAGATTCGACTGTGAGAATCAGGCTACACCCATCGAAGCATAAAATCTTCGACTATTTGGGGTCAGCCCTATAGGCAACATTTTTTTTTTCTTTAGAATACACAAAATTAGTCTGCTGTGCAGAGCAGGGGGAACCGGAGGTGAGAGTCCAGAGGGCGATTGGTTGAGCCGCTCCCTTGGAGGGCAAAAAAAGTTATTTCTTGCTGCTTGCCAACCGGAAAGCAAGTGATACACTGTTACTATGGTTTTTTTACTTTTGCATTGCCAAAATGCTGGATGATAGTTGTACTTTCTGATGCACTAATCGAGAAAGAGAAAAGCCTGAGCTGTGTTAGGTGAGGGATTCCCCACAAGCCAAACGTAAACATTACGACAGTCGAGCAGCAGGGCGCTTTTTGACGATAGAAATGAGGATCGGATGCTGTAACATGGATTCGAAGTGCCGACACTTGCAGTTTGTGTTCATATCTTTCTTTTTCTTAAATTGAGAGGTGATCCAAATAAATGTAAATGCTTTTGTGGCGTCTCTACAGGGGAGTTGCGGCGTGATTTGTTGTGTTGGTTTGTTGTTTTGCCCCCAGGTACCGCAAATGTCATGTGACTGAAAACTATGAATAGGCCTTGTACAACTATTTAAATGTGTTCATTATGTTGTTTGGTGTGGCCTACAGTTTCCTGATTAATTTTAAAATATAGGCTATTTGACATTTTTGATCTTTATTTAAATAAAGCATTAGAGTCTATAGTCATGTCTCAATTTTGTTAGATTGACCAGTAACCAAGAAACATTGTATTGATTTTATAATGGTATAAAACTAAAAATGTAATACATCAAAATAATAAACATTCTCTCAATCAATTAATAATTTCAGCTCAAATGATCAAGGAGAAGGACAATAGAAGAGTAGAAGATAAGAGAAAAAGTAAGCACCAGTTCATGTACATACCACATATTCCCGCACAAGGTTTTCTGGATCTTCACCCATGTAGATACAGACTCCCTTAATGATACACTCTCGTCCAGTATCTACATCATCACACTGAAAGGAAACGTACTTAATTATTGTCTTCATGCAGCTCTTCTGCTTTATTTTAAAGTCAACTACTGCTGTAAACTGTCATAAGAGAACACATTTCTCTGAGAACATAACACCAGGGTCCCTATTATGGTACAAGCCTTTCTGTGAGCTCTAAATCATGCAGGAAGTAGATTGGCAGGAAAGAGGAGGTAGAAAAACTATGAAGATAAATAAGTAAATTAGAGGTGCTCGGATCAGGGTTTTTTGGGCCGATCACGATCACCGAAAGCAGTATCGTCCGTTACCGAACACCGGGTCTATTTGAAGCCTTTTATTTATCATGTAGCATTATACAGTAGGATGAAACGATTACCGATTTAACGATAAACCATGGTAAAATTCCCGACGGTTATTATTACCATACACATTTTAATTACCATGATAACCGGGTTCGGTTACCGCACTATTATAAACTCACAGCAAACACTGTCCAGCATCAATCAAAGTAAGCGACAGTCTCCCAGAAGCAGGTGCGCATGTGCAGAACGCAACGTGGATTTGTTTGGGTCAATGACAACATGGCAGAAGACAACACTGTGGAGATTTTTCAGTCGCTCTGAAGTCTGGTCATAGTTTAGTTTTTATGAGAGTGCTGAGGGAAACTTGATTGAAGCAAATGAGCTTATAGTGAAAGCAGGGTGAGTTAACTTTTAGCTTTGGTTTGTCTGTCTGACTTGCTAACAGTTTGTAAACTGAAGCTCTCAGTGTTGCTGCTCTTGTAAAAATGCTACAGGTTGTACTGTTGCTGTGTGCGTCATGTGTCAGCAGACTTTATTCGTCAACTGCATATGATAACACATTACAGAGTTCAGTCAACTAACCAGCATATTCATTCATTTTAAATCCAGTCAAATTAGTTGTAAAAGTGTCAGGAGAAACGCTGCAGACTGCTTTGTATTTATGTCATTTGTTGTCTTCTAAAGACTTATTTGTTTTCATGTAATTGAGCATGAGGTCATTGCATTATCTACAGAATATAAAATCTTGATAATGCACACTTAGATGGTTTTCATATGTTTAAAAAAAAAAAAAAAAAAAAAGTATTGGCTGTTATTTTATTGTTTATGCAAACAAAATGTTACTTTTATTTGTAGTTTTCAATATAAATCTTATTGAAATGGTTTCGGTGTGTGTATCAGTACATTGTGATCTTTTTCAGAACATTTTTACAATAATGTGATAATACTGATAACCGTGATCATTTCGGTCACTACAATTGTGATCTGAAATTTTCATACCGTTTCATCCCCATTATACAGTATACTGTGTATTTGTCATCTGTTAATTTTAGGACTAATTAAATGAAGTATCATGAAATGACAACTGTTTATTTTATTGCCAGGAAACATGGGCAACAAATTCCACTCCCTCTCTCTTAGAGACTTAAACCATAGCAGCCTTTGCCTGGTTACTGCAAACATTTTTTTAGCTTAACAAATATAGCTTTCCTGTGAAATAAACTACAAAAACAGAACAAACAGCATCTTTATAAATTTACTTCAACTATAAAAACTGCAACAAAAATTTTAGGAGATAAAGGAGCACAGGCATCATGAGTCGATGATAAACTCTGAAACAGCTGCTTTTTGTTCTGGAAAGCTCAGGCAGGTTCTGTGGGTTTTAGGGGGTAGAGAGAGGAGTAGAGAGAGGGAGAGTGGGCTACAGAGAGGAGTCATAACTGTCACTATTGGGATTTGAAAATAAGGGAAATTTAACTAAATAAAAATGTTAATTCCATATTATACTGTTAGTACTTATAGTTACTATATTCATTATAATTTGGTTTACCACTAGTATATGCCTAATATTATTTCAGTGGCTTGTTTTCATTAATTAAATCCTTGTGCAAGAAGCACAGTCTACATCTAATGTTTTACATAGGCCTATTGCCACTGGCTTTACCAGAGAATGTAACACTTAAAATTTTATTTTATTTTATAAAGGTTAAAAATAGGGAGATTTATAGGGAAACATTTAACGGGAGGATACTGGCTGAGAACAGAAAAAAAAGGCGGGAGGGTTGACATGACAGGAGTAGAGCGGACTAATGTGAGGCTACATCCACACTACTACATTTTTTAAAGACAGTTAACGATATACAATCGAATAAGATTTTTTTAACTTTTTGCTTTGCATGACTGATAAGACCGAATCAGAAAGCCAAATGTGAGTGTCTGTGTGAGTGTTTTTAAAGTCCTCTATTTTTGCCCACGGGGTCAGCACGTTTTCAAACTTCTCCGTTTTAGGTCTTCGGATTTGCCGGTTTATCTGGACTTGAGGCGGAAATGTAGCAAAAGCTCCCCGTTTTAAATCAGGTGATTGAGTGGTGCCTGAGCTGCTAAAGGGCCCTCTCTCTCTTTGCATCAGGAAACTCACACTGAAAGATCAGTCACTCTCTCTGATGCGCTGTGGGTCAAGACAATTAAACTCTGGTAGTGGGCAGGCATGTGTGTGTGAGATGAGCACAACCGTGACAGTTTCACATGATCCTCCTGCTTGTTGCTCCGCTTGTCTGATTGCTGCTCAACTCTCATTGTAAATGATTATCTGGAGCACATCACTCGCTTCCTGTCTGAAAAGGACTTTGGTGCTAGCTAGCTTTGAAAACTGCTTAGACTGCGTAGTGAAACCATTTTAGCTGCCGTTGAAAATTTGTCTGGCGCGTATTGCATCATCTGATAGGCTTTTCTGATCTGCCTTTTTAGAGACCACTGATCAAACTAGTTAAAGCAATTATCGGCCGATAACGATTGGTGAACGATCGATCGGAGAACCCTTAAAGTAAATAGAAGAAAGGTTAAAACTAAGACAACAAGATGAAAAAGAAATGCACTTACAGTTTGAATGCCAATAAATTATGTGGCAACTAAAACATTCTACCTTTCTTCCAAATGTCTTAATGTTTTTCAAAAAGCAATCAAATTCCTAATGTTTTTAAGTTTTCCCATGACTGTGGGAGCCCTGTACCACTTACATCTGCCATTTGTGCAATGATTCTTTGTAGCCTTTTCCCTAGCTGTCCTCCTCTGTTTTGGAACAGCCTCATCAGGTTGTCAGAGTGGAGATCCAGCTGAGACAGGAACTTGGATTGAAGTGGGACGGTGGTGATTCTCTTGAATTCAGCGTTGATCTGAAAACGGGTAATAAGCACAAAGGAATCAGGTTCAAACTGTAGACATCCAGGAGAAAGCCACTATCACACATTCAGCAGACCACGACAGTCTAGGAGGGAGATAAAGCACAGACAAATAATATACAATCAGGTATATTAGCAATGTACCAAGACTGTCCTTTTATCAACAGCAAATGCAAAATGAAAAATACAGCATGAAAAAAGTCTTACCTCAGTGACGTCAAATAGGGCAGGCCACCTCGCCATGAAATCCTCCACCGTTGGTCCATCACGAACTACTTCATGTCTTCTGTGTGCAAAAGTCTTTTCCATCTTGAGTTTCACAACCTCCCTGTTGTTCCTCTTCTTTACATCTAATAGTAGAGCTTTCTGCATGGCCTCAAGACTCTCCTCAGTTTCTGCTGTTGGGTATGTCGGGCAAAAATTCACCTCTGCTCTCTTTGCCTTTTTGACACCAAAGGCTGCACTGCATCTTCCTGCAGGTTTGTTTTTTAAAGAGTTCACTGTTACCTCTGGGCAACCCAGTTTTCTCAGGTGTGTGCGGTAGTTAGATAGTTTATATTTTAAACTGGTCTTCCATCCGCCACATCCACTGCAGGACCCCTTCTCAGTTAAACATGGATGTGTCTTGATAAGACTCTGGGCTACCTGTTCCATCTCCTTATCACTGACATAAACTTTATACTGTACAATTTCCTGCACTAAACCATCAAGGATGGCTGACTTCAACTTGGGATCTGGAATCAGTACAGTGCCGTTTCGAATATAGGCTAAACTTGCCTGCTGAAGTTTTAATTCAGCATCATAGGAGAACTTAGGCACATGAAAAACAGCTGGCCAAGAAGACCGCGAGCTCGTCGACTCACTCGATGACAGTACATCTGTATCCACAGATTCAGCTGAGAGGGACGAAGAGTCACTTACAGAGGAAGACAAAGGGTTGAATGCTTGGGGTATTAGGACTGGAGAACCCATCTCATTATTATACGGCAAAGTTGGGGGCATTGCCATATCAATGACTCTAAGAGTACCTTTGTCTTCTACTTCTGAAATTGAGGTAAGGTTGAGGAACTCATTTCCAAACAAGGAATCCATAAATTGAAGTCGAAAATTGCCCTGAAGTCCACACTGTTTCTTGACTTCAATCATAAGGTCATCAATGGATGCAGGGAGTCCATGGGAAAGAGTCAACCTCTGAGAGCTGCCATCAGTCAAGACGATCTTAAGGATCACAGGAGTCCCCATCTTCAAAGCTGTTTATTCTGCAAGGACACACAAATTAGACATCAGACATTCATACATTTTCTATCTTAAATTCAGTGTTAAAAAGCATACTTTTCCAATTGCTTGAGTGTGGTTGGTATGCAAGTTTATAATAAAAATAAACAAATAGGAGAAAATTAACAAATAGGAAGATAACCAAAATAATACTGGATCACAGTTCTAATTTAGGTTTATATCGCAGAGTACGGTCTAGACCTGCTCTTTTATGAGCGCTATGAGATAACTGTTGTTATGATTTGGCACTATATAAATAAAATTTAAATACTTTAAAAAGATTATTAAAAAGACTATTTTAGACTGATTTTTGAATCACTTTTCCCCCCAAAAAAACATCACTGCAGTTCAGTATAAAGGTTATTACTGTAAATCTGGTCCACATCAGAGGTCAGTGTTAGGTAGGTAGGAATATGGTGGGTTGTTAAACTAGATGATTATATGAACTGTAATTCTAAAAGTTTCCTTTAGGTTAGACAGCTACTACAATTCTAATCATGACTTTTCCACAAAGAAATGGTGACAGGTATGTCTAAAGATTTTATGGGTTTTCCCTCTGTGAGTCACTAATGTGAGCTGGCTCAGTTTCCCAGCATGTCAGTATAAAAGCAGGATTAGCTTCAGTGGTAAGCTTAAGAGTCTTAATATTAGAAATGCTACCTCTGATGCAGAAGAAACTAAGTAACTTGAACAAAATAAATTGAAAAAAGGTAATGTTGAAATGACCTAATAAATTAAAATTTTAGACTTTTGAAAGACTTAATCATTATACAATAAAATTTCAGACATTTAAGGCTAAGGAACTGCAGACACCCTGGAATAGAATTATGAAAAAGGGTAGGTTAGAACAGTTACATAAAAAAAAAATATCTCTATCTCTATCACACACACACACACACACACACACACACCCCTTGTTACTTTAAAAATATGTGATAAAGGCAGGCAAAAGGTAAGAAGATGGTGCTGCACCATCCTCTAACCATATTTAATAAAGTAGACGAAGCAAATTGTCCTGTCCCCCCCAGTTGCTAGCGCACCTTTGATTTCAATATGCCTTTTCAAAGTCACCATGCGGGTTGCTCCAATCTTGTAGTCAACAAGGGGACAAGTATCAAGGAGTTCACTGAGTGCCACGACAGTGAATGTTCTTGTGGGTGCTTGGCTGAGTTCAAAGGCTCTATAATGCTCTCTGTACCAACCACATAGCTCTTTGACAATACAGAATATACTCTCATGTAAAATGCAGATTTGGTCAATTTCACTGAATTCAGGCATTCCACCCACTGCTCTGTGGGCCAGTATCATTCCCTTCCTATATGTTATACCCTTGGTTGTCACACACTGTGCAAGGTGAACCTCAGGTGTGTCAGAGAACTTTTTCCTGATGACTTGGGCTATCTCCTCTTTGAGTAAGTCTACTGGTAGAGTGGATATAGCAGAGACCTCTAGGTCAGACTTGCTCAGAAACGGAGAGCTCAGATGGTATGCAATCATCACTGATGCTTTGAGGCTAATGAGAGTGGCACATTCTTGAAGCAGCTTGTGTGTCTGATAACCTGCTTAAAAAAGCTATGCTTAGCCTCAAAGCGCATTGTCCACTGCCCAACAATTGGACCAAACAGCCTAATCATCTGGGGGTAGTGCTCCAAATAATGGTGTTTTGGAAGCAGCTTGATGTCAGGGAACAATTCTTTGTATCTCTGCCTGTGCTCAGTGATTTTACTTTCCAAAAAAGCCAGCGAGTCATCACTATGCACAGGGGCAACAATAAGCTCTGTAATGTCCTTCAGATCCATGAGAACAAGCCACGCAGGCTCATCTTCAGGTACAAGGGATCCAACCAAAAAAGGTAAGAAGCGGAGCAAGCTCCAGTTTTCATGAGCATTTCCCCCCACCGATTTTGAGCTAGAAAAACTTTGTGACACTACATGAGGTTTGTTTGTCTTGTCAGCCCATTTGTAGGGAAACTTCAGAATGGCATTGTTTAGGTCTGCTAACGTGAAAAGCTTTCTTGATATAAGCACTGTTAAGCAATGAGCTAGCTCTACTGGGATTATACCCTCAAAAACATCATGGGCAAGATCAGGTGGGTAGCCAAAGATGACATTAAAATGAGACAGATTTTTTGTAAAAACGCATTCCTTTTTCACTCCACAAAAACCTGTACCTGTATCTTGGGCTTGTTTGACATGGGCCTGATGAAGCTCCTTTGTTCTCAGACTGAAAGCACCAGATGCAACAGAATGTAGCTGAATATCAGTACTCTTTCCTGTGCAAATCTGCAATAGTATTCCACCGAAAAACTCTGCATAAATCCTGCAACGCTGTGTGCTCCCAGGTTGTCTGCCACTACACTGAGAACTGTACCTTTAACTGACTCACCTAACAACGGGACATAAACACCCAGCTCCTCCAGAGTTTTCAGATCTTTTAGAAGAGGTTCAAAGATTTGATCATAACCATAGGTTTTAACATCATCGGTTTTGCACAAAACTGACAAATAGATAGATGACAATGATGAATGAGATCCCGGAGGCAAGTTAGCCAATACCCAATAAACAGCACAAAGCTTGTGTTTCTTTCGCGAGGTGCCAAGCGGGTTACAGGTTTCAAAATCATCCACATAAAAATTTAGGATGATCCTTGGCTTTTCTCCTGTGAGGAAACTATTTTCCCTAAATAGGGAACCATCTGTTGCTGACTTGAACTGATATGACACTCCAGAACATGTGCTCTCCTGTTTTTGATGGCCCTCGACAACTTCATCAATGATATCCTTTCTACATAACAGCTGTTGTAAGGACTTCAATATCGGTACATATTGGAAACTGCGTTTGTTTTTAGCATCAAGAATATATTCCACTGGCTCTACAACACTGAAGTTCTCCTTATAATACTTCTTACGCTGATATGCGGTACTGAGAGGGCCACCTTTTTGTATTGACCTTTGAATAGGATTACCAGAACAAATTGCATTAATAGTTTCTCTAATTATATGTTCATCGACAGGGAGGTTTCTCTGATGAAAGATCTCACTCACAGTGTCACAAGATAATGGAACAGGTGCAGAAAAAGTCAAATGATGGAGTTCTCCTAAAAACACATCAACAGCTGTGCTGGGCACATGGTCCAAATGCTCCAACTTCAGCAAAGCAGCTGCAAATCTTTGCTCTATGATCTTCTGCAAGTCCTCAGTTTGAGAGGGACTGTTTGAAGGAATGACCACATTTGACTGTTCGACGAACTCCTGAGTATTTTCCAATTCATTCACAGATGATATCCTAGTACGTATAACTACTCCGGGTTTAAAATCAACCAAAGTGTGATGGCAGTGCTTTCTGTTTTTGTGTGATTTAAATGTGCAATAAATGTTTGTTTTAAAGTCGCAACCTAAAAACATACAAATGACAGTCTCATTTCTTTTGAGATGTGCATTTATATGAGCAAAATAATCCCTCTCTGATGCTAAATCATTACAAGCACAGAGTTGGCAATTGAATATTGCTTCCTCTTTGCAAGTGACCCCTGTGGAGTGAATTTTACTTTGGTGGACTATAAGGGCATTCCATGTCTTAAATGTGCATTGACAGTGCAGGTATGTACATGGAAAGCGAGAACTACGTCCAAAATGTGGATGCTTTAACTTGTAGTGATGCAAAAGACTGGACCTACTTGACACCGTTTCTGTGCAACCCTTACAACTCCACATTCCCACCACCTAGCCCTGTAACATACATCAAGATCGTCATTAGTCACATCATTAAAGCTCCAATGTGAAATTCATATATAATCAAAAAGGTCCACTGCACTACCAAAATTCAAAACACACGATGAAAATGTGCTATTACTTACAAATTGATTCATAGGCCTTTAAATACAAGGACTTTACTGTTTGGCTTGTTCGTAAAGTGAATTATTGTGCAAAAAATTTAAGTTTAAATTTTTCCCAATAATGAACTGACAAAACATAATTGATACTTTCCATCTTTAACTGAAGCTCTACAGTTATTTTTGGAAATGTACTTCTAAGTCACAAAATCCAGATTTGGGGCTTAAAATAAAATATAAATGACATCACTTACCACTATAAAGCCTTTGAGTATGCATTCTCTGCAAATAAAATGAAAGACCTATAAAAATATGTATAATCAGTGAGGTGAACACAAACAAACAAATATAACAAAAGTCAGAGCAAGATGCAACAGATATTAACTTTTAACGTTAAGTATTTTCTGTAATACAGTGCAATTTTGTAAACAATAGCAAGCTGAAATAATTAAATAACTGTTAACTTAACGATTTACGGACGGCTTTTCAGTGTGTTTAAGTTTAACAACAAAAGAGTGGATCAGGAAACTATAATGATAACTTACAATAAATACACATTGCACACCAGCCGGGAGAGTAAAGACTACACTACATTGTCTATACAGAACACTAAGTTCATTTAAGGCAATGTTAAATTACCTCTGATGAAAAAAAACAAAAACGAAACTAAAGTAAATATGTTGCTTTCACCCTCAGGAGCGAATGGGCGAAGCTCGTAAATCCCCGCCAGCGACCAGCTAACGGCTGTCGGGACATTAAAGAACTGTTGTCAGCAGCGGTACCATCGGGGAAAAACCCTCACTGACCACCTACGGTACCGCTGCTGACAACAGTTCAGGATTTCCCCGGGGTTAGGGCTTAACGCAACTTAAATAAAAGTCAAACTAAACTAGCTAGCGTTGCTTTTAGCTAAAGTTAGCTAAAAACAACTTCAATGTAGTTACACAAACAAGTGACAGACTATTTGGGGTATTACATACTACTGTACGAAAACAGAATCTAACGTTGGTGGAAATGTTGTCTACTTTAACACATAAATCAATTTGACAAACTTACCTTTTCAGTAATTTGAGGTCTTGGGAGGACATGTAGCTGCAGAGCTGCCGCTTCTTCCCATGCTTGGCATCTTGGTATCCAATCCGGAGCGCCATTCAACACTTCCTGGCGCTCTTTGAATATATTCTATTTCCGGTGGTGATCAAACTCAATTGTATCATGGATGTATAAAGAGATTGGCTGATTTCAATCAAAGCGAGAAAATCTAGTAGAGCAACAATCTACATAAGACACTATAAGTCTACTTGATTCAATTGTGTTCAAAAAGGGAATATAAATGAATTGTGTTGCATATACAAACTTTCTTTGTGTAAATTCAAAGACCAGCTATTTCCAATTTTTTCAGTGCAGGAGTGGAGCCAAGTGTGACTGTCAACACATCTGCATGCTGTGTGTGAGCTAGACAAGGTGAGTGCATAAAAGACTGGGTGGTAGGCAAGAGAGTGTGTTTTCTTTTTTTGCCCAAGAGTGTGAGAGACAGATGCTGCTAGGCACTGACTTCCATTTCTAATGAGCATAGGGGCATCAGTAGCCATTCGTGAGTGAACAATCTTCCCCTGAAGACGGAGCTCAGTGGAAGTTCCTGAGCTGGGTGGTAGATAGAGCCGTCAAGCACGAAATGGTGTCACACACCGAGGAGTAAGGGACTGTTACGACCTATGTGCAGGGAAATAAATATCCTGTGACACAGCCAGGCATGTAATGGGAAAACCCAGGCACCAAAACCAAGGACGCGCACACACACAGAGGCAAACTGAGCTAAAATATTCAGTCTAGAAACAAAAGGTAGATCCTCCCTCATTCTGGGTCATAAATCACAGTATTTGACAGTTTGTTTTCCACATAAATATTTAAGAAAGATGACAGCTTTTGCAGTGATTGATCTAAATGAGTTTGGCATTCAAATTCAACTTCATTTACTGCAGCACTGAGATGTTGAGCACATTCTATGAATCCAAACTAATATTAACTTTTCAGCATTTTCCCATTTAACATATAGAAAATGTAACTTAAGCTAAACGGAGAGATTTGCATAGGGGAAATGTTGCTTTGACAAAGATGCAAGGATGATGTTTGAGCTGTTTGCTTCCAGCGGGGTGTCTTTTCAGAAATGACAGCTCCCACAGCGATACAACAGAGGCTACCGACGCATTTTCATCAAATGCTGTTAAGTTTTGTCTGGGTCTGTTGATGCCAGTGTCATGTTTTATGCTGCTGTGGATGGAGTACACCTGCAGGCTGTGTGAGCAAGGAAATGAACATCTGGAGGAAGAGGTGGTGGGATGGAGAAACCGTGCACAACACCTCCCACCAACTCAACCATGAGGTGTGATGTGGAGCACCTTGAATGGCCAGCCAATAACTTTGGCATGTACCAAGCAGTGCTGCAGGAGTCGTTCTGTTTCCCTTAGCTTAAGGCTGATTGTCTGATTGTGGGCACTATACTTCTGCATTGACTAGTTGTTCTTAATCAATGACAAAAAGTACATGTGGCTTGTGAATGAAGAGAGAACAGAAGGAAAAAGCAGTTATGGGTCTTAACTCTTTAATGTAAACAGCAGTTTTGAGGAGCTTTGAAAAATCCTAAAGAAAAAACATCTGAAGGTATTAAATAGGAAGGGGAAAATATATAAATCATACTAGAAATAACAACCATGATCTGTTTTTAAATTAAAAAAATACATAAACTTTAAATTTTGTGGCCATATAGTCTTGAACACACACAAAAAAAAGACAACTTCCCTTGACCAAAACACTAACATCCTCTAAATTGTAATACCAACTACTTGGCAGTTTCACAATTTTAAAATCACAAAATTATGACCATTTTACAAATGATAAACAAAAAAAAGCTCAAATATTGCTTAGGAATGTTGTGTACAGCAGTCATTACAACGAGAGAGACTCAAATGAGGGAGAGACGAGTGTGTGTTTGTATGTGTTTCACAATGGTGGTGTTTTTATGGTTTTATTTGGCAAAGCCACTGTGTAAGGTGTGTACAATATGCACATAAGCAGCAGTGGGATGATGAAATTAACATTAGAATATTTAAAAGAAAGGCTTTTTACTGTAGTACAGTGCCTTGATTTTGAGGAGCGACTTATTCTAACAGTCTTCGGTATATGTGTAGCAGGACAGAGTGGATATAAGAGACTATTTTCATGAAGTGTTCATCTTAAAATGTAATTAAACATTCCTTCCATCCTCTTATGAAACTTCTAGCTGTCACGAATACTGTAAGTGAGAATGTGACAGAAAATACTTCTTGAAAGTTGACGACGAAACACAAAACCCCGTCCCTCCCTGCTCCTGAACTACACAACCATCATCCCTCCCCAACAAAAGCCCTGAGGAAAAATAATAAAGTCAACATAGGAAAGGACAACAAAGAAGCTGAATCAAATTAGAATTTCTAAGCATTGGTCTACAACAATTTTCAAGCAAAATGACAGCTGGCGCCTCGGCCGATAAGAAGAAGTGAATGTTTCAAAACATCAGACACGGGAGGAGAGTGAGGAAGAAGACGCAGAACGACCAACCAAAGACTTACTGGTTTCTCCTCTCCATGGCAATCTGATGACTCTGCATCGACCCAGAGTCCCCCAAGTGCAGTGAGCCTATTCATATGCAACATTTTCTCTCTTATAAAGGTCTAGCAAGAAGCAAGAGGAAAATAGTTGAATAGATCCTTTTTCTTTCAATCACAGTTAATTTTTTTTATATTATGTGGTTTTATTTGTTTTTGTTCCAGTTTGTAAGAAAAGGGGATAGGTCCAGTGAGTACAGTAGGTACTGGGTGGGTTTGGGTTTGGGCTCGTGGGGATGTCCGTCTAGTTACAGTCGTAAACAAAGTCATAGTTGCTAGGTTCTTTGGGAATCGGGGGCGGGGCCTCAGGAATCTGGATGTTCTCTAGATCCAAGAGACGCAGCTTCATCTCCATGGAGAGGAGGGTGTCCATATCAGATTTGGTGTAATCACTGGTCATCTCCTTACCCAGGAGGGCGTTTAGACCATCTGTCCACACGCAGTACTGCAGAGAGATCCAAAATTAAAACAAATCAGTACTGAAGCCATAAACACAAGTAAATGCATCCAAAGTCTACAAACTATAATTAAGCACGATATGTTTTCAGACTCAAAGCAGGCTGTTGACAGCGTACAGACTCCACCTTCCACCTGCTACAGACACGTCCAGGCATAAAAGAAGCTAACCACGAAGGGAGGAAAGTTTGTGTACACTGTAATACACCACCTTCTCTCTGTCCTAAATACAAACTTCTATGTATAAAAAAATCAAGCACTGAGAAAATGATGTGAATTATCCTTAGAGGAAGTCTTAAATTATTAGACCTCTGTGTACAATGTGTAATATTAATCTATGAATCTATGAAAAACAAAAACACTCTTCTTCTATTAGCCAAGTTGCCAGGCATTATAGTTATAAGCAGGGCTGTTCTACAAAGTCTTTGAGGGTGGGGTAATATGACAACATACGACATTGTCTACCATCACTGATTTTTCGACACCATTTATAACATGATGTATTAGGCTATCAATAATACATGTAACCTGAATGTGGGCTGATTGAAGCTAGACAAACAATGTTGCAAATCAGAAAAGTGTTTCATGGATATATTGGATTTGTCTCACTTGATTTTCCAGAAATTTACTATATGATGATAAATATTGATATCGTAATATAAAGTTACATATACAGTAATAAGTGATTTTATCCATATCCCTCGCTCATAACTGCAAATTCTTAATCTTTATAGTCACTGAATGCTTACCATTTAAATGACTCAGCATTTTGACATTTAATGTACATCTTTAATTCTCAAAGCAGCCAAATCCAAGTCAAGTCTCAAGTCCTTATTTTTGTGACTTAAGATTGGCATGAGTTCAAGTCTTAAGTCTGCAGTCTCTGTTATTGTTATTATTATAGTTTTCTTTTATAGATTTTATGCAGTTAGCTTAAAATAGATACACTAGAGTGAGAAAAACCTCTTTCTATGTGCAATCGCACATGTTCATTCTGTCCGACACTGTCAACATCCACAGGGCTGCTACTGTTGGCTTACCTCATTCTTGTCAGGAGCAATAAAGTTTAAATACTCGTCGGACTCATAGAGGACAGAGAAGGCCAGCTCTAACACCTCCTGGAGAGAGGACAGAATGAAAGGCAGGAGGGAGGGGTGAGGAAGAGAAAATGGTACAAAGAGAGAGCAGGAGACACAGACAGCGACAGAGTAGAGGAGGTGGAATGGAGAGGTAAAAAAATAAAAATAGGGTGCAAGAAAAATAAAAAGAAGAAGAAACCGGTGAGATTTACTCCGCAATGCTGCCATACCAATGTAATCTCCTCCCCTTTCTTCCTTGGGTCTTTTCACCATCTGTTACATCGGTTGCACATCAACTTATCAGGTATCAGCGAGGTAGAACTCTAAGAGAGAAATACCTGGGATGCCCTCAGACACTAGATATTGAAAAACGCCTAGGACGGCTGGGAATATGATGTGATCCGATATGATTTCGGGTTTATTCCCTCAAACGCCACTCTGGGCTACTGCAGGAAATAAATTGAATGCAGTGTGAGGACAGAACACTGAGAGCCAGATTTGTAAACATGAAAGCAATTCATTAAATGCTTGCTTGCAATTTGTGTGAAATTAGCGTCTGATTTACGAAGTCAGCAGGTAATTACACAGCCAGAGATTGGGACTGCAGCCTAGGTGCACTTTATGCAGGACAGGTTAAAAGACGCAGTTTGTCTCAGATCTAGGGGCTCTGAACAGAAAAGATGTTTTTGACTGAAGTGATAGGAGATCAAATCATTTACTACTGCCAAAACAACACTAATTTGTAAATGTATTACTTAATATATGCTCTTTATTCATTGAAACATTTATATAACTAATACTATGAGTTTTTAAAACTTGAAATTAAGCTATAGAATTGGAAAAACCTTGAAGACACAAAATAAAATGCTGTATAAATTAAGAGTCTACAGCCATGCTAGCGACTTGCAGTGGTGCTTAGAGCTAAATCCTAATGGCGGCATGGAAACAGGCTAAGATGATAAATATGGTAAACATTATACCTGCTTAAAATCAGCATGTTGTCACTGTGAGCATGTTGGTAATGAATTAAGTGTAATCCCCACAGTACATTAACAGCTTCCTTACCAGTTCAAGTTTATGGCCACAAAGATACTAATAATGACATTTGTCTAAGAACTGCTTATGATGAATACGTTTGGAAGAATTTTGGAAACACAACCTGAAAACATTGCTTGCCACCTCAGCCTCCCACCTCTGTCTCAGTGTCCTACAAATGATCCACAGGCCAGCGCTGCTCTAAAGGCCGTAGAGGTGACTTTGGCTGGCCTTGTAACAGTGACTAATGAAATGTGTTTGTGTTCTCATTCACAAGGTTGGGGCAGGCCAGCTAGACGCCCCGCAGACCCCCTTCAGGTTTTTCTCCTAGACCTGCGCTTATCGACAAGGTAATAAAGGAGACAAAGCAGGGAGGAGGCGTGCTCCTTTGTCTTCAAAGCCATTTATCCAAGATCCAATATATCAGAGTCCCGTGGGCGGCGGGGTGGGGGTGGGGGGAAAGGAAGGGCTGATGTGTACACAGACATACACAGACGAAACGGCTCTTTCATCCTGGTTAAGGCACCGCAGAGGGCACGCCGATGTGTTACTTTCAAATTTAAACAGTAAAGAAAAGATGTCAGCATTCTTTTGGTGGCTCTCGAGTAATTTGTGTCCGCAGCTGAAAGGACTATTCTGTGATTTATTTCTACACGACGTCACCGATGGACCAGTCTCTCTGTGCAGAGCACTGAGACGCAAGTTATTGTGTTATTTCCCAAAGCAAATTTATGTAACTGACATCATGTTATGCAACTCTCACGCACACAGAAACACGTTCTCTCGCCTGGATACACACCCGCCCACCCGCACGTGTACACAACTGTGGGTGCGCACACAAACACACAAACACGCACACACGCACCTTGTTTTGCTTCAGGGCTCCCTTCTCCTTCATGTGAGGACAGTCTTTGCCGGTGATAACAGCTTTGATATCAGCCACAGGCACTGGAGATAGGACAGAAGTGAGTGGTGAACAACAACAACAACAACAACAACAACAACATCATCATCATCATCATCATCTCAGTGACAACAGTGTCATCCCAGATGGGTGGCTGGTTTATTCAAGTGAGTAAAAGTTTAAATTCTCCCCAGATCTGTCACTGTGCAGGCATTGCTAGTAAAACTGATATTAACACCAATTCTTAAATTCAACAGTCTGCTGATATTGTGTTTTGGGGCACATAGCATGGATAGAGACGGTAGACTCGTAGAAAATACATATTTGAATAAATCCTGTGAGCTGCAAGTCTTAGTAAGTGCAATAAAAATACCGTGTCACAACAGTGGGTTAAGACTATCAACAATTTCACTTGATACTCACATTTGTCCTGTAAAGAGTCGTGGGGCACTTCACCCTGAGGGCTCTCTTCCAAATCTCCATAGTGCAGGACTTTATGATTTGGAGACAGACGGCAATACCAAAACTTATCTGGAAGAAAACATGACGAGAAAGGAAGAAGGGGAGGAAAAGAGGAGACAGATTTAGAGGAGTTATGAAATAATTCAGTGGCTGGCATAAGACATCATATGGGATTGCATGAGTCATCAACAGGAGAGAAAATTAGCATGGCAAAAAAAATCTGACAAAAAAAAAAAACAGCCTTGAAGAAAAATCCACAGATGGGCCATGATGCTTGGCATGAGGGAGGGATCTTGATGGGCAACAAAGCAGGCAGTTGGCCTTCATCATTTTAACAATGAGTCAACAACAATATACCCATATCCAGGGTTTTCTTCTCTGACTCAAACATGAAACCTTAACTGTGACCTGGAGTAACAAAATTCAAACATGTACCAGATCTTCAGCAGAGCCACCAGACCCCAAATGCCTACTCTACCTAAAGGAAGCACCAACTACCATCTGACATGATGAAAAAAAAAAAGACATCTTTACATGTTACAACATGTTTTAATTTAAATAATACAGGCTCTGCTTAAAAGGTAATCAAACAAATAGTTTTAACACTATGGTGCTTAAAATACACTGCAATACAAAAAGCGGAACACCTGCACACTAATAAATCATGTTGTACTGTTTCACCAACCAGATGGTGAAACAGTTTTACTCAAGTCTAAGTTTTAACGCAGCTCTTGAAACAGGTTTTATCATCACCGTATTGGTCAGGTTTTGTCAAAGGCTGGACAAAATTTGAAGATCACATCAAGTGTGATTTTTTTTATTTGGCTGGTTTGATGTGCAATCCCCCAGCAGTGGAGGCCTCTAACTACCAGCTGTGTCTGTAGCCTCTGTGGCCAGCCTAGTGTTCTTTAGTGGTTCCCTGCCAAGGTGGGCACCGAGACGGAGCTGGCAGTGAGTGGCACAGACCGGGGAGGTCTGGCTGGCGTGTGCACAGTTCCCACAGTCCAAAGCCTAATTGCTGAAAATAGACAGTTGGCGGTGCCAGGCTGGTGCACAGTGGCGCCAGTCCATGGGGAAGCAGATAGAGATGTGTGTGGCAGTTGTGAGGGGACCGGTGTTTTGGGAGAGGATGCTATCAACTGTTTTGTGCTTAACTGATTGTGTGTACATGTGTGTCTAAGTACAAGCACATATGTTCCTCCTTTGGCTCGGAGATGCTGTGTCTCTATCTTGGATTGAGTTTCATTCTTGTATCACTTAAACTATCATTGTCTTAAGCTGATTCAGCTGCCAGAACGTGGGTGAAGATTCAACAGAAAGAAATTTCCAATTTTAGTTTTGCTTTAGTGCAGCATTTACACAAGGCACACACTCCAGAGCCCCAAGTGCTGTTACCTGCCAGCACCCTGCACTTAAAAGACTGCACAGGTAGTGCTCGTTCTGAGCTTTTAGAGAGAAGCATCCCCTTGTAATAGGCAGACTGGCACTTTGGAGGGCAAGGAGAGAAAGAGAGAAGAGGAATATGCACTGAAGTCAGCTAAATTAATATTTGATGTAGGTACTTGAGTCCCTGCAGGCATGAGGACTTTGAAATAGTCGTACAAGATGCTGAGGGAGAAGTGGGAGAAAGAGAGATGAGCACAGTTTATGTATGTAAAAAAGATAGACGCATAACAGTAGATAGAGAGTTAACACTTCTAAGAAGTAAAAGCACTGCGGAAGTTTGAGGCATGTAGAAAAGACAAGATAAAAATGACACTAATAAAAAAGTTTCAGTGATATGTATGCAACACCCCTCTTTTGATGTAATTCTCATTTCTTGTGAACAACAAGTGAAA